CCCCGAGATTTTAAATTAAGCTTTGACTGCTGGTCGGCTGAATAAAGGGGGCAGAAGATCGGAGCTGAGGGAGTGTTTGTCCTTTAATGGATGTCATAGCGCATAAAACGTGCTCCTCACAGTTCCAGGAACTTGTCTTAAGCGCAGAGGTGACAGGGCCTTCTCTGTAGCAGGACCAAGACTCTGGAACGAGTTACCACTGCTTGTCAGACAGGCCCCCTCCCTCTCGGTTTTCAAGTCCCTTTTAAAAACTCACTACTATTCAGTAGCATTCAACACCAGAGGATCTGTGTTTTGAATCTGTATGCTCCACACTGGTTTGTCATCATTATCTGCATCGTTTTTATGTCTATATTTCTGATTTACTTCATTTTGTATTTTGCTTTGTGTGTTACCTGTTGTTCTGTCTGTACAGCACTTTGGTTGGCCTTGTCGCTGTTTGAAGTGCTCTATAAATAAAATGGTATGGCATGGTATGGTAAAATGCTTCCCCTGCTTCTGACTGCATTGGACCTCTGACATGTGGGATATTTTGTGATCTCACCTGTTTGGGTCATTGGCTGCATGCGTCCGCTGAGTGCAGCAGATGAATAAACGTCCATTTGGGTGATGGATCACTGGCAGTAGTCCATCTGAAGCTTAACTGAACTTTTTACCTCTTTCAAAGCTGGTCAGCGCTTGGTGAAATGGCCTGGTGTGGCAGGTGATAGTATGGCAAGCCATGTTACCATATATTGGATCGTCAGCCGTGCGTATCAGCTGATGCAATCAAAAACCAGACACCGACACGGCCCGCACATTAAGCACATTATTATGGACCGGCCTGATCCGAATCTAGGTCGAGCAGGGCTGGGCTCCGGGTTCGGGTTAGAAATGACAGCTCTACTTCAGAGGTGTGGTTCTATTATGTACATTATGAATGCTTAATTACCTTACATACCTGTGTTACTTACTTATTGTAGAAAGCTCTTTGAATTACCTCAGTTTGAGCTAATGACAAATCCAATGGGGCCATGATCGTGTGGCCATTTTAACTCTAGTCTCTAACCTATGTCACATATCTACGTCACGTACCTTACATTTCTATTCCAATGTTTTTTTCATTTTTCATTTACCCTTTATTTATACAGGTAGTCTCATTGAGCCACGAGAACTCATTTTAAAGAGAGACCTGTTTTAGGAAGCAGGTGGGGGTTAAGGGCCTTGCTCAAGGGCCCAGAGTGGGGCGAATGAGGGTGGGGGCAGGTGTGGGTGCTTCACCTACCCCACCCACATTTTTGATGTTGTCGGTACCGGGGCTTGAACCGGGGCTCTTCCGATCACAGGCCCACCTTCTCTAACCTCTGCGCCACCACTCTCCAATGACACAGTCATTTATTGTTGAGCTAGAACAGTTGTTTTTTCAGCTCTTACAGTCTGCATTCAACATCATCCAGTCAGATTTGTTCGGTCTCAAACTGGTGCTAAATGCTGATTAAACCAAAGGGATGTTCTTTTCAAACAGGATGTCGGTACCAGCAGTCCTTCTTTCCATCTTATTTACAAATGGTGTATCTATTGAGTTTGTTGAATCTTATAAATACTTGGATATCTTGGTCGATTCACATCTCTCTTTTAAGCCTCTTGTCGAAAACTTGGTAAAGAAATTGAAAGTAAAATTGGGTTTCTTTTTCAGAAATAGATCCTGTATAACTCTGCTAGGAAACACCTTGTGACTGTGACTTTCCTTCCCTACATTGACTATGGTGACATTATTTACATGAACGCTCCTGCAAGCACCTTGCAGATGTTGGACGCTGTCTATCACGGTGCGCTAAGATTCATAACTGGCTGTAACTACCAAGCTGTTGCGGCCTGGAGTCTTATCTTGGACCCCAGGCCCACCTCCAGCTCACTCCCTCAGAAGTAGTAACTCACACTATCACAATAAATCAAGGAAAAGTGTATTCAGTTTACCAGTTATATTAAATCCAGGCAGGAAAAGGTTACAGTTACAGCGCTGGCTTCCGATACAATTCGAAGTGAGATCAAGGACCGCACACTGCACTCTGTATTCATTGGTCAACCGGTCATCATTAACTTCACGCAGACTCTCACACTGGTATCCTGATGCATGCTCAATAATCCAGGTAGAAAAATCCCAAAAAGTTAAATCTGGTCCTCTGGACATTCAAAAAAACAAAAAACAAAACAAAGCAAAAAAAAGTAGAAACGTTTCGTCTCTCATCCGAGAGACTTCCTCAGTCTGAGGTGCTGTATTCAGCTCAGTCTCTTAAATAGCACCTTCTCAGAGTGGATCAACCAGTTTGCTGCTGACAACCAAAACCAGCTGCTCACATGATCAAGAAGGACCATCAGCCTAACAATGGATCATTAGCACACTGATGGCTGTTTACTATTCACAGGGGGTTGAGTGATACTAGCAATAACAGCATTGCAACTCACACTGGTTCACACTGGCTCACACTGGTATATTTTCATCTTTAAATCACTTCTTGGTCTGTTGCTTTCATACATCTCCTCCTACATGGCACTTTGTCAGTGCAGCTACAGCGTACAATCTCAGGACATTATTACATGCAGTGGTCCCTCACTGCGGACCGAGCTTGGCAAAAGGGCCTTCTCCTACTCTGCCCCTGTAAACTGGAATACATTGTAAAAAGATCTGAAGTTGTCAACTTTGACCACTCTAAGGGATTTTAAACAACTTTCAAGTTAATTGCAAAAACCAATGCAGATTATGTTCCAGTATTTAGTATTTCACATCGCATTATAATGTAGCTGTTTTTGTTTCGTTTTTATATCATTTATTTTATTTACTTTTCATTTTATATGTGTTTATATGGTTATCTATTGTTGTCTGTACCTCATCTGTGTTCTTTTTAAAAAACGGGTCTCTCTTGTGAATGAGTCCTCATAACTCAATGAGACTAACCTGTATAAATAAAGGTTGAATGCACAACGTATATCTATAACAGGTGGGATTCTAACTGTTCATAACCTTTCCACTTCTTTAAATCTGAACTATCCATTTAAAGCTTGGATGCGCCTTCTTTTGTGACTTTGTTTTAACATCCCAAGTGTTAATAAAATGTGTTGACATTTGATTGAGACTACAGGGAAGTTGTAAATGTAGAATGACATGTTGTCAGAGTCAGACCTTTCTTGCAGGTGAGAAGCGGTCCGATGAGTCCTGAGTTTATATCCTTGGCGGTCTCATAGTGTGAGTGGTAGAGCCACGACAGGCAGTTGGCATCATCACTCGTGGGCGCGTATTCAGGTTTGACCTCCCAGCGGTAAGTGTAGCTGCCTCCTGGAGGAACCATGTCATCATGTTTGAACCTCCCTGATGTCCCATCTGGATAAAACGCCCCTGATGGACAAATAAACACGACAACAGGAGAACAGAAATGTTGGCAGTACTTTGGTTACCTAATGATCTGATGTAATGATTTTTATCTTAGTAATCTCACAAACTTCTAGATATTTCTGTCATTATATCACTAATAGGAATCTTACATTAATCTATTTTCACATGAATTCATTTTCAGCAGAGGTTCTGAAAATCAAATAAACATATTTGCATATAAAGCAGGATGAACTTTACTTCTGTGACACAGTACTTGATGTGTTTTAATATGTTTTGTGTTTGCAGACGTTATTTGTAGAAGAACAGATTTTGGTGCTTCTGGAGTTTATGTTTTAGTGTAAAGAACCAGGTGAGGTCCAGAGGAGCTTCCCTGATCCTCCAACACTCTGTTAGTGGTTAAAAGTCTCAGCAGTTCCTCAAAGAACTGCAGAAATATTAAATGAAATAAAGCTGGTCCTTCATGGGGCAAGTGCAGGAGTTCTGTACATTTGTCTCTGCAGAGTCATCATCTCAGCTCCACACATTATCAGCTGCCTCCTGTCTCCCCTGGGTGACATCAGCAGCTCCCAGTGTCTCAACATGAACTGGACAATTCCCTCTGACACCCTACCACCACCACCACACACACTTAATTACCTGTATGTTTGTTGTTTAATGATCATTCAATTTATTTTAGTTTACTGGCATTATTCATGACAGATGATGCAGATGTATCAAAGTAGGATGGATGGCCTTTCCAATCTCATTGTGTACGAGCCATGCACCGTTTGTGAACAGCAGTCTTCAGCTCTTTCCACAGATTCTCGATTGGATTCAGGTCTGGACTTTGACTTGGCCATTCCAACACCTGGATACGTTTATTTGTGAACACTTCCATTGTAGATTTGGTTTTAAGTTTTGGATCATTGTCTTGTTGGAAGATAAATCTCTGTCCCAGTCTCAGGTCTCTTGCAGACTCAAACAGGTTTTCTTCCAGAATGGTCCTGTATTTAGCCCCATCCATCTTCCCATCAATTCTGACCATCTTCCCTGTCCCTGCTGACGAAGAGCAGGCCCAAACCATGATGCTGCCACCACCATGTTTGACAGTGGGGATGGTGTGTTCAGGGTGATGAGCTGTGTTGCTTTTACGCCAAACATATCGTTTTGCATTGTGGCCAAACAGTTCGATTTTGGTTTCATCTGACCAGAGCACCTTCTTCCACATGTTTGGTGTGTCTCCCAGGTAGCTTGTGACAAACTTTAAACAACACTTTTTATGGATATCTTTGAGAACTGATTGTTGTCCTATGGACAGACTCTCCCACCTCAGCTGTAGATCTCTGCAGTTCATACAGAGTGATCATGGGCCTCTTGGCTGCATCTCTGATCAGTCTTCTCCTTGTTCGAGATGAAAGTTTAGAGGGACGGCCGGGTCTTGGTAGATTTGCAGTGGTCTGATACTCCTTCCATTTCAATATGATTGCTTGCACAGTGCTCCTTGGGATGTTTAAAGCTTGGGAAATCTTTTTGTATCCAAATCCAGCTTTAAACTTCACAACAGTATCTCGGACCTGTCTGGTGTGTTCCTTGGTCTTCCTTCTGCACTTTGAACAGAACCCTGAGACTATCACAGAGCAGGTGCATTTATACGGAGACTTGATTACACACAGGTGGATTCTATTTATCATCATCAGTCATTTGGGACAACATTGGATCATTCATAGATCCTCACTGAACTTCTGGAGTGAGTTTGCTGCACTGAAAGTAAAGAGGCCGAATAATGTTGCACGCCCCACTTTTCAGTTTTTTATTTGTTAAAAAATTTGACACATCCAATCAATTTCATTCCACTTCACGATTGTGTCCCACTTGTTGTTGATTCTTCACAAAAAATTAAAATTTTATATCTTTATGTTTAAAGCCGGGCAGCACGGTGGCGCAACTGGTAGAGCTGCTGCCTCTCAGCGAGCAGGTCCTTGGTTCAAACCCCGGTCCAGGGACCTTTCTGGGTGGAGTTTGCATGTTCTCTACGTGCATGCGTGGGTTTTCTCCGGGTACTCCGGTTTCCTCCCACAGACCAAAAACATGCATGTTAGGCTGATTGGTAACTCTAAATTGTCCCTAGGTGTGAGTGAGAAAGTGAATGGTTGTTTGGCTCGTTTGTCTCTATGTGGCCCTGTGATGGACTTGCGACCCATCCAGGGTGTACCCCGCCCCTCGCACAGTGATTGCTGGACATGGGCACCAGCGACCCCCGTGACCCAAAATGGAATAAGCGGGTAAAGATAATGGATGGATGGATGGATGGATGTTTAAAGCCTGAAATGTGTCAAAAGGTTGAAAAGTTCAAGGGGGCCGAATACTTTCGCAAGACACTGTAGAGACAAACAACCATTCACTCCCTCACTCACACCTAGGGACAATTTAGAGTTACCAATCAGCCTAACATGCATGTTTTTAGTCTGTGGGAGGAAACCGGAGTACCCGGAGAAAACCTACACACGCATGGAGAGAACATGAAAACTCCACCCATAAAGGCCCCCAGGCCGGGATTTGAACCAGGGTAACCTGCTCATTGAGGCAGCAGCTCTACCAGTTGTGCCACCATGCTGCTCTATGCTTTTTTCCTCAGTTAAAAAACAAAGTTAACTTTATTGTTGTAAAACCATATATTGATCACTTGTGCCAAATAAAAATTGAAAAAATTAAATATGTCATATTTTTTCTTTATGTTCATAGACATTATTTAAATTAAACAAGTGGTAATGATTGTGTCTGAGACACATTTTGTCTTTTATAAACCTTACTTTATTTAGACATTTGTTGTTTTTAATTACTGTAGGCATTTAAGAAATACTGTATATTAAATCAAAATGTAAGAGTACAACAAATTAAATTATAGTACTTAATGTCCAACATCTTTCAATTTACAATGAGTATCATTTGATATTTTTACTTTTTTTTTTTTTACATAATTACACTTACTGTATAGTAGTATTTTAGTATATTTTTATTTCAGAAGTTTTTGTTTGTATTTTGGTTTTAATCTTTGTTGTTGCAACAATATAAAATTACCCTGTTAAAGGACAAAAGTATTTTCTATTCCTTTACAGTATTTTCTTTTCCATCCATTCTGTAAATAATATAATTACATTCAAAACTATTTCTAAAGCTTTAATTGTTCAAACTGTGTTGGCGTCAATAAATCTGAAAGATTCAGGAGGATTCAGGAGAAAAGGATTTCAGACATTTCTCACAGGATTTTCCACAAACTGTGGTCAAGTCATCAGTTCACCAGCAGCTGGGCTTTGTCTCGATCATCTGCAGAGCTGAGGGATCAACAGTGACTCCCCACAACAAACAGTCATCTCCTGGAAAACACTCAGCTATCCAGCAATATTAATCAGTCATTTTTACAGGCTCTACATTTATGTACATTGCCCAGAGACAACTTCTGTTGTGACTTGGAGCTATACAAATAAACTGAATTGAAATAAACAGAAATCTTTATGGACTCTTTTGTAAACAATGGTTTACAAGAAAGTTTAAAGCAACCAAACCTTGTAAATATTTTGTAAAACATCTGTCTTTCTGCTATCATTCATGCATTTTTAAGTTCAGAGTGCATTTATTGTACATATTAACACGTAATTGAGAAGATAATGGCTTTTTTTTTTTTTTTTTACAAATTTATGTCATTGTTTTCATTTAGTGCATGATTTTGCATGATTACATGCTTAGTGCAGGCCTGCAGGAAGTGTGGGGACAGCTAATGCTACCAAATGCCCAGGTTGATCTAACACCTGTGATGTGCAGCTCAAAGTGCTCAAGACTGATATTACAGTGTTACCACAGGACCTTCCTCCAATTCTGTTTTTGTATAAATCATTGCATACCTTCTGAGTCCTTCTCATAGAAAATCCCATGGGGGTGTAAGGAGTAGACCCTGCTTGCAAAGTTCCTCAGGTGGATCTTGATGACATCATTAACCTCAGCTTTCATTATGGGTCCCAGAATGCCCAGCCAAGCAGGTCGTGGAGCCAAGCATGTGAAAGAGGCATCGGTGTACTCCCGGTACATGGCTTTCTTATAGACCCTGCCGATACGCTGTGGTCCTTTTTCTAGAAATATATGTGCATGCCTGAGATAGACAGAAACAAAAACAACAGAAGGATTTTCAACCTGTATGAACATTTTCAAAAGGTCAAAGTCAGATCACTGTTGTGTAACAAAAAATTACAGTTATGTTAAAATACTGTAGCATTTATTCCACTATTTCACACATTATGAGGTTTGACCGAAGGATGCAGTTTGCTTTTGAAATGACTTATTTGTATTATTTGTCACAGATGAGTTAAAGTCAAATGTTTAATGAAAGTAAATGTAATTCTGCACCTCAGTGTGTAACAATTGGACATGTGTCTGTGATGATTACATGTTTCAACAGGTTAACAGGTAGTTACTGAACCTGCAGCAAAGACTGTTTCCCAGCAGAGTCTGCAGGTCATAAAGGTGGTGAATGGACTGTACTTATAAAAACAACATGGATTAATTTACACAAAACAAGAGCATAAACATTCAACATCTCATCAAGAGAATTTATTTTTTTTCTCTAAATTCATCTGATATCACAGAATTAGAGATTTTTTTCTCTTATTAGATAGTTATTGAGGATGAATGAGGTGCATGGTGTAAGAACACTTTGAGACTAGATTAAAACATAAACACATGAATTCAATCAATTTATTATTCATTTTAATTATCTGTCTGCAAACAGCAAAGAGCTAATGAGCTGACTGTGGGCTCATTACTGAATTTGTTACAATTATTTAATTAGCAGTTTATGACATTTTAATCCTGGTCTCATGCAGAAAAACCATGATACCAAAATGAATAAAAACAGTTTATTGATAATAAAAAAAAAGCTTCATTTGAGTTGAATCAGAAAGTCCAACATTTCATAAACATAAAAGCGCTTTAATAAAAATGAAGGTGTGAAGAAATAAACAAAAAGACCCAAGTCACAAAAGAGAACCTTTACAAGATATTATCTGTAAACGTTGACAGGAGTGAGTTTTATTCTCGGACTGTGTCGATGTAAACTGTGTTCTTAATTGTGTGTGTTGGTTCAGAAGGTTAAGACTGTGCAAATGTTTTTAGCCTTCTCTTGTTTTCAGACAGCATTTTCTATTTGTTACTTCTAATCACCCGCTCTTCAAAAGTACTTTTCTTTACAACTTCTTCTGAACAACTCCATGAAACAACGATAAGAGCTCCATCAGTCTCAGAAGGTGGCAAAGTATCAATTTCAAAGTTTTTAATTGTAACTTTATTTATACATTCAAAACTGGGAGTACCATATGTTCCCATTAGGATCATTGTTGCAGTCAAAAAAACAACAAAAACATCAACGTTTAAATACAGTACTTACAGTACCTGAATGTCCTGTTCATTTTCAGGCTTTTAATCATTTGTTTGATCTGCTGTTTTTTCAGGGTGGAATGAGTGTGAAGCTGCTGGGATGAGAGTTGGCTCCTCAAAATATGAGGCCATGGTTCTCAACCAGAAATGGGTGAAATGCCCCCTCAGGGCCAGGGGAGAGTGTCTGCCTCAGGTGGAGGAGTTCAGGTATATGGGCGTCTTGTTCACGAATGATGGATGGAGCAAGAGATGAATTGATAGATTGAGGCCTCATTCTCAGCTGCTGCTCCTCGGCATCAAAAGGAGTCAGTTGAGTGGGTTTGGGCATCTGATGGATGCCTCCTGGATGCCTCCCTTTAGAGGTTTTCCAGGCATGTCCCACTGGTAGGAGGCTCTGGGGAAGACCCAGAAGCCGCTGGAGGGATGATGTATTTTCTCTGGCCTTGGAACACCTTGGGGTCCACCAGAAGGAGCGAAAAGTGTCACTGGGGAGGGGGATGTTTTGGTTTTCTCACCTGGACCTGTTGCCTCCGTGGCCCAATTACAGATAAGTGGTAGAAGATGGATGGATGGATGGATGGATGGATGGATGGATGGATGGATGGA